CTATATAAATATTTAACAGGGTAAAGACTCTGCTTTAATGGAAAACTATAGTGCTGTAAATATCAAACTGTATTGCTAACACTATACTTTACTCTGCACTCTTATTGTCAGTAACCTGATTGCTGGTTCAGGCTCTGCCAACATCAGGTCCTTCCAGCGCATGCATTTAGGCTTCCCCATCGGAAAGCATTTACTCAATGTGTTTCTGTAGGGTTTTTAAATAGCCTGGTTGTCTTATGCAAAGCATAAGGATGTCCATTGTTATTTCACATAGTTATATTTTAAGGACCCTGAAGTGCCTCTGGTGGCTGGCTGATAGATAGGCAATAGAGGAGGAGTTAATCTTGCAAGAAAATTTTTGCAGTTTCACAGAATAGGCAATATTTCACATTGCAGTGTTAAGTGGACTTGGGAACATCACCCAAACAAGATGAAGTGCTCTTAGTGCCTATAAGTGTTCCTTTTAAAAAACAAAACAAAAAAAACCGCTTCTTAATCTGCTCATTGCTGGATTTTCTAAGTCATCAGTTATAAGCAAAGCTATGCATAGGCACAGTGACAAGAGGACCCTTGTGCACCATAAATTAGCATAGGCTGTTACAAAGCCATATTTCCTGTCATGGACTGTTTGGTAGAGTCTTAGTTTTGTGTCCCACAATAATTAACAGGTTGACGTTAATTACAGATACATATTTAACGGCACAGACAAATTAATGTAGATTTCAAAAGTAATTGTTTTAATCTTTTTAAAAGTGGCAGTATAAAAGAAGTCTAGCACTAATTTCAAATTACAAAAAGTGAAAAAGCATGTTGGCCATTTATTACATACATAATTTTTGCACATGTGGCCAACATCGGATATTGTTAGTCGCTCTTTACTCTTGTGACTAAGGCTTGGATGAAGCTGTGATCTTCCTTTACAGAACAGTCCTTCAGTATCCAATAGTCTCTTATGCAGTAAATCCTCAAAGCGGTTTGCTTCTTTCCTCTGGAGATGTAAAAATCAAACATATAGTTCAAACTCACCAAATTGTAACCACAAAGCAAATTACAATCTCTATATTTTATATTTGAAAATACAATTACCATGTGGAATTGGAGGCATAGAATAGAAAGAATGATAGAGCACTTTAAATGTAGACTTACAGCATTTCCGTGACCCCCACAAAATAAGAACAACTTTTATATTAAGTATTTTGCCTACTCTTGACACAAAAGGCAGAGCTACATAAGGTACACTAATGCATGCACGTGCGCTGTAACTGACGGGTGTGCACTGTGCCTCTAGTTTGTCCTCCTCCCTCTGAAAAATCCCTACCTATTTGTAGTGATGTACCGAACTGTTCGCCGGCGAATAGTTCCCGGCGAACATAGCGTGTTCGCGTTCGCCACCGCGGGCGAACACATGGGCGGTTCGATCCGCCCCCTATTCGTCATCATTGAGCAAACTTTGACCCTGTGCCTCTCGGTCAGCAGACACATTCCAGCCAATCAGCAGCACACCCTCCCTAGCAGACCCCCTTCACCTCCCTCCCAGCATCCATTTTAGATTCATTCTGAAGCTGCATGCTTAGTGAGAGGAGGGAAAGGGTAGCTGCTGCTGATTAGATAGGGAAATTGATAGCTAGGCTAGGGTATTCAGTGTCCACTACAGTCCTGAAGGACTCATCTGATCTCTGCTGTAAGAACAGCACCCCAAAAAGCCCTTTTTAGGGCTAGAACATCAGTCTGCTTTATTTTATTTTTTTTCTGAGTAATGTAATTGCAGTTGCCTGCCTGCCAGCTACTGTGTCAGGCTGGATGCTGTGCCCATTTACACAGTCAGTGCCACCACTCATATCTGTTGTCACAATAGCTTAAGCTTTACATTTAAAATATTTTTTTTTTCACTGTAATAGATTGAAGAGCAGTTAGTTGTCTGCAAGCATCTGGGTGTCAGGCCTCCTTCAGCGTGTGCCCTGCAGAACCCTGCCAGTGTACTTTGACAGTTGCCACTCATATCTGGTGTCTCTGTAGCGTGCTTTTACAAAGAAAAAAAGGTTTCCAGTGTAAGCTAATAGCAGTCAGTGTCCTTCAAGCGTGTGTGTCAGGCCTACAGCCTGTGCTCTGCACACCTGTGCCAGCGTACTTTGACAGTTGCCACTCATATCTGGTGTCTCTGCAGCGTGCTTTTACAAAGAAAAAAAGGTTTCCAGTGTAAGCTGTAAGTATATCACCTACACCGTGCATTGGGTAAACCTGCTGACTGCTGCCAAGCATGGAATGCATGGCTCTGCAGAGGAGTTGGTGACACCGCCACGACTTGCAGGCAGTCCTGCTGCCACCTCCTCTACTCCTCCTAATCCATCCTCTTCCATAACCTCCTCGGCTGAGTCCTCTTCTGCTGCTGCATCTTGCTCCACATCAACGGCACCCCCCCAGCTCCCCATGTACTATTCCACATCCCGGATACGGCAGTGTCACGCCGTCTTGGGTTTGACTTGCTTGAAAGCAGAGAGTCACACCGGACAAGCACTCCTGTCCGCCCTGAACGCACAGGTGGAAAAGTGGCGGACTCCGCAGCGACTGGATATCGGCAAAGTGGTTTGTGACAGCGGAACAAATTTGTTAGCGGCATTGAAGTTGGGCAAGTTGTCACATGTGCCGTGCATGGCACATGTGTGTAATCTGATCGTACAACGCTTTGTGCATAAGTACATAGGCTTACAGGACGTCCTGAAGCAGGCCGGGAAGGTGTGTGGCCATTTCAGGCGTTCCTACACGGCCATGGCTCACTTTGCCGATATCCAGCGGCGAAACAACATGCCAGTGAGGCGCTTGATTTGCGACAGCCCGACACGTTGGAATTCAACACTCCTAATGTTCGACCGCCTGCTCCAACAAGAAAAAGCAGTTAATGAATATTTGTATGACCGGGGTGCTAGGACAGCCTCTGGGGAGCTGGGAATTTTTTTGCCACGTTACTGGGCGCTCATGCGCAATGCCTGTAGGCTCATGCGTCCTTTTGAGGAGGTGACAAATTTAGTCAGTCGCACCGAAGGCACCATCAGTGACATCATACCATTTGTTTTCTTCCTGGAGCGTGCCCTGCGAAGAGTGCTGGATCAGGCCGTAGATGAGCGTGAAGAGGAAGAGGAAAAGTTGTGGTCACCATCACCACCAGAACCAGCCTTATCAGCATCGCTTGCTGGACCTGCGGCAACGCTGGAAGAGGATTGTGAGGAAGAGGAGTCAGAGGAGGAATGTGGCTTTGAGGAGGAGGAAGAGGAGGAGCAAGATCAACCACAACAGGCATCCCAGGGTGCTCGTTGTCACCTATCTGGTACCCGTGGTGTTGTACGTGGCTGGGGGGAAGAACATACCTTCATTGAGATCACTGAGGAGGAAGAACGGGAAATGAGTAGCTCGGCATCCAACCTTGTGGAAATGGGGTCTTTCATGCTGTCGTGCCTGTTGAGGGAAAGGCTGAAGGAGAACGACCTGTACTGGGTGTCCACACTACTAGACCCCCGGTATAAGCAGAAAGTGGCTGAAATGTTACCAAATTACAACAAGTCGGAAAGGATGCAGCATTTGCAAAATAAATTAAAAAGTATGCTTTACACAGCGTATAAGGGTGATGTCACAGCACAACGGGAATCTAACAGGGGAAGAGGGGAAAGTAATCCTCCCCCTCCCACGACCACGCC